AGTTACAAGGAGGAGGCAGAAAAATTATTGCTCTTAACCTGTGAGGCTAGGACAAGAAGCAATGGGCTTAAATTGCAGCAAGGGAGGGTTAGGTTGGACATTAGGAAAAACTTCCTAACTGTCAGGGTGGTTAAGCACTGGAATAAATTGCCCAGGGAGGTTGTGGAATCTCTGTCCTTGGAGATGTTTTAAGAGCAGGTTGGACAAACACTGGTCCGGGATGGGCTTAGATAAGACTTAATCCTGCCATGAGTGCAGGGCCTGGACTAGACGATGTCTCGAGGCCCTTTCCAGCCCTGTGATCACCCAGGGCCCTAGGTCTTGAGGCAACAGCCCAGGGAGCCCTCTTCAGTCAGTAACACAAGACTCTGATGCCTGGTGTGGCCAGATCTGGGCCCCTGTGCAGGGCTGGTCACGCAGGAGGCAGCTGAGCACAGCTTCGGAGAGGGGTGATGAGATAGATCAAAGGCCTGGGGAAAGCTTCTTGTGAAAGGGCTGGGCTGGCCCTCGGGGCTGCTGCTCTGAGCACCTAGGCCCGGGGCGGGCAAACTTTGGCCTGAGGGCCGCACTGGGTTTCAGAAATTGTATGGAGGGCCGGGTAGGGGAGGCTGTGCGTCCCCAGATAGCTGGGTGTAGCCCCACCCCTGGCAGGGTTCCTTCCCCACTCTGAACTCTAGGGTGCAGATGTGGGGACCTGCATGAAAGACCCCCCCAAGCTGATTCTTACCAAGCTTTGCCTTGTCCTTGAACCCTATGCTGCCACCACGAAGCGTGTTAAACAAAGAACAGGGAAAGAGCCCACTTGGAGACGTCTTCCCCCAAAATATCCCCCCAAACCCTACACCCCCTTTCCTGGGGAAGGCTTGATGATAATCCTCACCAATTGGTACAGGTGAATGTAGACCCAAACCCTTGGATCTTAAGAACAATGAAAAATCAAGCAGGTTCTTAAAAGAAGAATTTTAATGAAAGAAAAGGTAAAAGAATCACCTCTGTAAAATCAGGATGGAAAATACTTTACAGGGTAATCCGATTCAAAACACAGCGGATCCCCCTCTGGGCAAAACAAAGTTACAGAAAAGGGGAATAAACCACCTTCTTAACGCAGGGAAAATTCCCATAAAACAAAAGATAAACTAACTCGCCTTGCCTGGCTTACCTCTACTGGTTTCAATATTGGAGACTTGGATTAGGATGGGTTGGGGAAGATGGATTTCTGTCTGGCCTCTCTTGGTCCCAAGAGAGAACAACCATTTGAACAAAGAGCACAAACAAAAGCCTTTTCCCCCCACCCCCAAGATTTGAAAGGTTTCAGAGTAGCAGCCGTGTTAGTCTGTATTCGCAAAAAGAAAAGGAGGACTTGTGGCACCTTAGAGACTAACCAATTTATTTGAGCAGAAGCTTTCGTGGGCTACAGCTCACTTCATCGGATGCATGCAGTGGAAAATACAGTGGGGAGATTTATATACACACAGACCATGAAACAATGGGTGTTACCATACACACTGTAACCAGCGTGATCGGGTAAGGTGAGCTATTCCCAGCAGGAAAGCGGGGGTGGGGGTGGGGGGAAACCAGTCGGAGAACACGTCAATCTCTCTGGTCACTCGATTACAGACCTAAAAGTGGCAATTCTTCAACAAAAAAACTTGAAAAACAGACTCCAATGAGAGACTGCTGAATTGGAATTAATTTGCAAACTAGATACAATTAACTGAGGCTTGAATAGAGACTGGGAGTGGATGGGTCATTACACAAAGTAAAACTATTTCCCCATGTTTATTTCCCACCCCCCGACTGTTCCTCAGACGTTCTTGTCAACTGCTGGAAATGGCCCACCTTGATCATCACTACAGAAGGTGTACAGAAAGGTGGTTACCCTTCCCTTTATATTTATGACACCCTCCCTCCCGCTTCTCACCCCCTAACAGCCCCCCTGGGACTCCTTCCCCCATCCAACCTCCTCCGTTCCCTGACAGCCCCCTGGGTACCCCTGCCCCATCCACCCCCACTGCTCTTGGTCCACTGACTGCCCCCAGACCCCTAACTGCCCCCCACCATTCCATCCAACCCCCCTGTTCCCTGCCCTGACCCCTATCCACACCCCTGACCAGCCCCTGAACTCCCCTGCCCTCTATCCAACCCCCACCTGTTACCACGCTGCCTAGAGCACCAGGACAGGCAGCCGCGCAGCACAGAGCCCTGGGCCAGGCTGGGGGGTCTGCCACCCAGAGCATTGTGCCAACAGCGAGGTGAGGCTGTGGGGACTAGTCTCCCGGGCCAGGAGCCGGGCAGGACAGTCCCGTGGGCCGGATGTGGCCTGCCGTTTGCCCATCTCTGACCTAGGCTGTCTCTTGACACAGAAGAGGGACGTCTGATGAAACGGAGGATTTGAAACCACGCTGAGGAAATACTTGTTCATGCCATGGGTAATTAGACTGTGGACACCTCATGGCCACCGGACATTGTTGAGGCCAAGATGCTTACGATCATGACTCACCTGAGGCCACAGAGCTGGGACCCTTCCAGCTTCTCTCTCATACAGGAAAATGGCTGTTGCCGGTGTTGGTCCCTGCAGGTGGGCTGTGGCCTGGCATGGTGCCCTGTGCCCACCATGCTGGGTGAGGGGCTGGGCATGGCGACCTCTCCCCAGCAAGCTGTGGCCAGGCAGTGGCAGACAGGGCCTGGCTGCTGGTCTGGCGCTAGGCCAAGCTGGCCCATGCATGGCCGGTGGAGCTGAGCTGGGCCCCTGGCCAGGTAGCGGAGGGGCTGCTGTTACGGCCTGGCTATAAACTGGGTGCTGTGAGACCCAATCTCTGGGTGAGTCTCACGGCCCCCCCACCCGCACCCCTTATGGGAAACGGGCCTCAGCCCCCCCCCCCCCCCACCTCTCTGCTGGCGTTTCCCAGGCTGGGTCTGGCCTGAAGAAGGGCTGGATGATTTCTGGGGCAGGGCCTACAGCTGTGCCCAGTTGTGCTGGGCCCCCTGAATGACAGAATTAACCATCCTGCATTGCCAGTAGGCTTCAGAGTGAACAGCCCAATGCAGTGAATGGCAGCAGCTCCGGAGCCAGACGTTGGAGCAGCCAGAGCCGGCTTTCCTGGCAGGGTGTGAGGCAAGGCTGGCGTGTGAGCTGGGCAGAGCCCTGCTGTGGAGAGGAGCCGGTGCGAGCAGGCTGGCTGGGGCCTTTGCACACTTGCCCGTGTTCCTGCCACTGCCTGGCCTGCTTTTTCCATCCCGGCAGCTGCCACTACCTGTTCCGCCTCCTCCCCGTCAGCCGCTCGGCAGCCAAACCGGATTCCTCAGATGGCTTCACGTGGGCCCTAGCCCGGGGGCAGCAGGGAAGACGCCGTCTTTTTCCACTTGTTAAAGTTCTTGCCCGAGGGTCGGGTGCTTTATTGCTTTCGTCTGGCTCTGGGGGTTGGGCGGCATTTCCTGATGCTCCCCCAGGCAGGCCCAGGGGGCCCTGCTCCTGCTCCTAGCAGTGCCCAGCATTGAGGCCAAGCCCTGGCCCTGCTCGGCCCTGCGGCTATGGGTGCATTGGAGCTGGGTTCAGAGGCCGGCCTGCAGCAAGGCCCATGACCTGGGGGTGTGTGTGTGTGTGGGGTGGTAAAGCAGTCCTGCCTCCCGAGCTGCAGTGTGCAGGGGGGGTGAGAACGGCTGCCTGCCCTGTGCCGACCTCGCAGGGCTCAGGCTCGGCTGGTCAGTGCCCCCAGCTCAGGCTGTTCCTGCAGCCGTGGGGACAAGGCTGCTGCGAGGGGCTAGTGCCCACTGGCACCAGGTACGGGTACCTGCCAGCATAGGAGTGCGGGAGAGAGAGCTGAGGGAGGCAAGGTCCTGGGGTGCATGGAAGGGGAGGCAGGGCCCTGGCCAGGATGGGTGCTGGAGGATAGCTGAGGCTGGAAAAACACGGTGGGGCAGAGGGAAATACCTGGACTGGGTTTGTACCAGCACAAGCCCCCGCCTGGCCCCTTGTCGTTTCAATAACTGCAAAGGGCGGGGTGGGGGGGCTCTGAGCTCACGGCCCCGGCCCAAGGCCCTGCCCGTGCAGCAAGGGATGGTGAGGGAACAAGCCTGACCTGGGCAGGATGCTGCCTCCCACAGCCTGGCTCCAGCAGGGGGGCTCCCCAGAGCCCGAGTGGGGCACTGCACTGCCCGGGGGCTGGGCCGACCCAGGCTCCTGGGTGCTCACCGGCTCTCCCCCGGCCAGCTGAACCGCGAAGCGAGGGCCAGGGCATGGCCCACAGAGCGCAGTGAAGGCACCGGTGCCTCTGGTCCAGCAGGCTACGGCCGCTGAGTGCGGGCCAGGGGCTCAGGGCAGGGATCCTGCTCCAGCCTTCAGCTGAGTTACTGGGGGGCATCTGCTCTGCCCTATGGTACAAGCGTGTGTGTGCAGGGAGCCAGGGCTGGGGGATCAGGGCCCTGGCAGAGCAGGGTGGGGGAGGATGGGAATGTGGGACCTGCAGGGGAGGGGAGCCCAGGGCTGGGGAGCAGGGGGGCTGGCCTTGGCCCAGCAGGGCAGGGGAGGGGGCACTGGCAGAGTGGGGGGGATGTAGGACAGGAGCAGGGCTGCTGGGGAGCCCAGGGCTGCAGAGAAATCCACTGGGCCGCAGGCAGCTTTGCCACCCAGGTCACAGCTCTGGGGCTTTTAAACCCTCCTGCCGCCGGGCTGTCAGCACCGAGCCCTGCCCCCCAGGCAGCGAGGGCGGCTTGCAGAAAGCTCCCGGCGGGGTTACTGCTAGGGCCAGGGCAGCCGGCCTGGCGGTTAGCTGCCCTTGGCAGTGGATCTGCGGAGCTGTGTCGGGGAGCTGATGTGACCTCGGCCCAGCTCCCTGTCTGCCGGCGCTGGGGTGAGGGCTGGCAGCATTAAGGGGCCCTGCTGGAGGACCCCCCAGGGCAGGAGGGAGGTTCTGCAAGGACCACCTGTGTCTGGAGCTGGGCCCCAGGGGAGGTGGGCCCTTGCCCAGGCCCCAGCCCACACAGGACAGTACCGCAGCCCGTTTGTGTCCAGAGGAGTTTAATGAGAGACCCCGTGCGTCCCGGTGTGGAGCCCAGGGCATGGCTCCCAAGGCAGGCAGCCTGCTCCAGCCCCGGCTTGGGCTCCGTCCCTGCCCCTCCTGGGCAGGGCAGGGACGGGTGAAGAGAAGCCCGCGGTGCCGCTCGCAGTCCCCAGGCTGGCCTGGCGAAGCCCCGGTGCCATGCAGGGCCGGTGGCCGCGCTGGGGTTACGCAAAGAGGCGGATGGAGGCGTCGGCGCCCGAGGAGAAGAGCCAGGGCTGGGTGGGATGGAAGAGGACGTCCAGCACGCCCAGGTCTCGGGCCGGCGCGTGGCCCTTCAGCACCTTCACGGGCACGATCAGCGGGTTCTGCAGCAGGTCACTAGGACAAAGGGGACGGGGTAAGGGGGGGCTGTGACCCCGAGACGCGCTCGGGCACTTGGCTGCCCACCCCACACACCCTGCCCAGGGACGTGGGGTGCTCCAGCCCACAGAGGGCCCAGAGATGCCCAGGGTCTGTGCCCATGGGTGGCAATGCTGGCTGCTTGACTGCCCTCGCCCTCTGGCACTGGGGGCTGCCCCCTGTCACCCCCCTCCCCCACGTCTGGTCGCACCGTGGCGCCAAGCCCTTCCTCCCCCCGGGCCCGCGCGTACTTGTAGACCATGCCGTGGCAGACGATGACGCTCCCGTCGTCCGAGCCCGAGGCGAAGAGTGGGTAGTGCCTGTGGAAGGCCACGCTTCTCAGCGCCTTCTTGTGGTGTCTGCAAGAGACCCCCGCAAGCGCCGGTCAGTGCCAGGACCCGCAGGGTCCCCCTCAGCACCCTGCGACGGGCCCCTGCGTGGCTGGGCGGTGCCTAGGGGCCCTGCAGCAACCAGCTGCTGAGCCACCTGGGACAGAGCGACGCCAGCCTGGGCGTGAGGGGGAGATGGGGTCTGACAATCCTGCTCGCGGGTTGGGGCAGCCAGGGGGGTGAGAACTGCCTTGGGGCTCCCCAAAGGGGGCAAGGAGCAGCTGATCCAGCTGAGGGAATCCGGCGCTGGGCCGGGTGAGCAGTGAGATGGCAATTGGTGGGGGGGCACGCAGCAGGGAGAGACGCCTCGTCCCTACAGTGCTCTGGGGAGACCCCCAGAACGCCCCCATGCCAGAGGGGGTGACGGCAGAGCTGGGCCTTCCCTGGAGCCTGGGCAGGGTGCCAGCCTCCGAAGGGCAGAGAGCAGCCTGGGCGCAGGAGCCCGGGGGCAGGACCAAGAGGCTGCACTGGGCCAGGGAGTGGAGGGAGGGGTGGCGGGGGTGGAGGGGCAGGTGAGCTTGAGCCCAGCTGCACTGGGCTGTGGGTAGGTGGAGAGGGGAGGCTGGGGGGAATGTGGGGGGGGGCAGGGGGAGGGGGGGGGGGGGGGGAGGCTGGGGGGAATGCAGCTGGAGGCCGGGTGGAGAGGGGAGGCTGGGGGGAATGCGGGGCGGGCGGGGGAGGCTGGGGGGAATGCAGCTGGAGGCCGGGTGGAGAGGGGAGGCTGGGGGGAATGCGGGCGGGGCGGGGAGGCTGGGGGGAATGCAGCTGGAGGCCGGGTGGAGAGGGGAGGCTGGGGGGAATGCGGGCGGGGCGGGGAGGCTGGGGGGAATGCAGCTGGAGGCCGGGTGGAGAGGGGAGGCTGGGGGGAATGCGGGGCGGGCGGGGAGGCTGGGGGGAATGCAGCTGGAGGCCGGGTGGAGAGGGGAGGCTGGGGGGAATGCGGGCGGGGCGGGGAGGCTGGGGGGAATGCAGCTGGAGGCCGGGTGGAGAGGGGAGGCTGGGGGGGAATGCGGGGCGGGCGGGGAGGCTGGGGGGAATGCAGCTGGAGGCCGGGTGGAGAGGGGAGGCTGGGGGGAATGCGGGCGGGGCGGGGGGGGCAGCCGGGCAGGTGAGCTCGGGCCCAGCCGCGGCACGCTCACCTCAGCACGCGGTAGGGCTTGGTGGACAGGTCCAGGTCGAACCAGGCCAGCTTGCTGTCGTAGCTCCCACAGATCAGGTTGTCTCCTGCCCGAGGGAAGGGGAGTGAGCTGGGCACTGCCAGCAGCCACGGCCCCTGCAGGGGTGTCGCACGCACCGGGGTCCCCGGCTGCAGAGGTCAGACCCCCCCGACAATGTCCCCCTGCGGCAGCAACTCGCCCCCACCCAACACCGGGAACCCCCCCAACATTGCGCCCCTCCCCCCACCACCAGGCCCCCCCGCAGCAGCATCGTGCCCTTCTGACACCAGCCCACCCCCTGCGGCAATGTGCCCCCCCCACCCCGACTGTGCCCACGTGGCTGAGGGGACAGGATCCTCCTGCCACCCCCCGTCCTACAGGAGCTCCCCCACCTCCCTCCACAGCCTGGCCGGGGCTGGGCAAAGGAGCGCGCGTCGGCCTGGTGGCTGGGCCCCATCTCCAGGACGCCCCCCGCCAAGGGACGGCGGGGCAGCGCCCAGGGCAGCTGCCGGGGGCCCCACGTACCTGCGGGGTGGACGGCCATGCTGGACACCCATTTGCAGTTGGTCAGCAGCTTCTTGGCGAGCTCCTGCTTGAGCAGGTTGTAGAGGCGGACGCAGCGCTGGGTGGCCACGAAGAAGAAGGGCCGCAGCGGGTGGAAGAGGACGCACTGCACCTGCCCCTTGCTCCGGCGGAAGGGACTCTGGCTCCAGCGCTTGCTGGCCTGGTGGATCAGCACCTGCGTGTGGCCGTCGGCAGCCAGGACGCTGGCCAGGTAGTCGCCTCGGGGGTGCCAGGTCACCTGCTTCACGGGCTGCGGAGCGGCACGGCCAGATGTCAGCTGCGGCCTGGGGCCACGGGGAGCCGCGCAGCCGGGCTGGGAGACGGGGCGCCCCACGGCAGCGGCGGGGCCAGGGCTGTTTGCATGGCTCAGTCCCTGGGGCGCTCCGGGCACGGGCGCTCGGACCCCCCGGGAACGTGGCTCAGTCCCTGGGGCGCTCGGACCCCCCCGGGAACATGGCTCAGTCCCTGGGGCGCTCCGGGCATGGGCGCTCGGACCCCCCGGGAACCTGGCTCAGTCCCTGGGGCGCTCGGACCCCCCGGGAACCTGGCTCAGTCCCTGGGGCGCTCGGACCCCCGGGAACCTGGCTCAGTCCCTGGGGCTCGGAGCCCCCGGGAACGTGGCTCAGTCCCTGGGATGCTCCGGACACGGGTGCTCAGACCCCCGGGAACCTGTCTCAGTCCCTGGGGCGCTCGGACCCCCCGGGAACGTGGCTCAGTCCCTGGGGCGCTCGGACCCCCCCGGGAACGTGGCTCAGTCCCTGGGGCGCTCAGACCCCCGGGAACCTGGCTCAGTCCCTGGGGCGCTCGGACCCCCCGGGAACCTGGCTCAGTCCCTGGGGCGCTCGGACCCCCCGGGAAGGTGGCCGCTGGCAGAACCCGAGCAGGCCAGGCGAGGTGACATGGGCCCAGCACGTGGGGACAACACTCACCCTCCCACGAAGCGCTGGGAAGAGTTCCCCACCCCACTCCAGCCCCCCCGCGCCCCAGCCCCCGCCGTACCTTCCCGTGCCGGATGATCAGACGGACACCTCTGCCGTGCTCCGCGCCGGCCGCCACGGCCCAGGTGACGGGCTGCAGCCGCTCCTCCTCCGGCGGCACGTAGCCCTCGATCAGTTGGTCCGTGGCCGCGTACAGCAGCTTGTCCCCGAGGCAGGGGTTCACCAGCAGGACGGACTGCTCCCTGCACGGGGCGCTGCGGGTCAGAGCCGGGGACAGGGCCTGGCCCTGCCTCCTTGCCCTGCGTGCTCATGACAGCCTCGGCCAAGGCCTAAGGGAAGGGGAACCAGTGCTGGGCCCCAGGGGGCCTGCCAGTGTCCCACCTCTGCCCCCAAGAGCTCTGAAATCCAGCTGCACGCTGGGGGCCAGCACTGGCAGAGAGCAGGGGAAGGGGGCAAGTGATGCCTTGGGAGGGCACACAGAGAGGAGATGGGGGCTGAGGGTGGCCAGTGACCTGGAGATGAGAGGGGGCTTGGAGTGGGGGGGTCATCGGGCTGAGGCGGGTCACACAGAGATGAGATGGGATGTGGGGGGTCACAGGGCTGGGGAGGGGCTGGGGGGTGTCACACAGAGAGGAGATCATGTGACCCCCCCACCCCAAGATGAGATGGGCTGGGGGGGGCCACATGGAGATAAGATGGGGCAGGGGGTCACAGGGCTGGGGGGTGTCACACAGAGATAAGATGGGGTGGGGGGGTCACAGGGCTGGGGGTGTCAAACTGAGATGGGACGGGAGGGTCACAGGGCTGGGGGTTGCAGCGGGGGGGGTCACACGGCAATGAGAAGGGACGGAGGATCACAGGGCTGGGGAGGGGCTGGGGGGGTGTTACACAGAGATAAGATGGGGCGGGGGGGTCACAGGGCTGGGGGTCGCAGCGGGGGGGTCACACAGTGATGAGATGGGAAGGGGAGGTCACAGGGCTGGGGGGTCACACAATGATGAGATGGGACGGGGAGGTCACAGGGCTGGGGGGGGTCACACGGCGATGAGATGGGATGGAGGATCACAGGGCTGGGGAGGGGCTGGGGGGTGTTACACAGAGATAAGATGGGGCGGGGGGGTCACAGGGCTGGGGGTCGCGGCGGGGGGTCACACGGCGATGAGATGGGATGGAGGATCACAGGGCTGGGGAGGGGCGGGGGGGTGTTACACAGAGATAAGAAGGGGTGGGGGGGTCACACGGCGATGAGATGGGATGGGGAGGTCACAGGGCTGGGGGGGGTCACACGGCGATGAGATGGGATGGGGAGGTCACAGGGCTGGGGGGGTACACGGGAGAGATGGGACGGAGGATCACAGGGTGGGGAGGGGCGGGGGGTGTAAGAGATAAGAAGGGGTGGGGGGACTGGGTGAGTGGGTGGGGGGTGGGTGGGGGGGGGGTGAGGGGGGGGGGGGGGGGGGGGGGGTCACACGGCGATGGGACGGAGGATCACAGGGCTGGGGAGGGGCGGGGGGTGTTACACAGAGATAAGAAGGGGGGGGGGGGTCACTCGGCGATGAGATGGGATGGGGAGGTCACAGGGCTGGGAGGGGTCACACGGCGATGAGATGGGACGGAGGATCACAGGGCTGGGGAGGGGCTGGGGGGTGTTACACAGAGATAAGATGGGGCGGGGGGGTCACAGGGCTGGGGGTCGCAGCGGGGGGGTCACACGGCGATGAGATGGGACGGAGGATCACAGGGCTGGGGAGGGGCGGGGGGGTGTTACACAGAGATAAGAAGGGGTGGGGGGGGTCACTCGGCGATGAGATGGGACGGGGAGGTCACAGGGCTGGGGAGGGGCAGGGGGGTGTTACACAGAGATAAGATGGGGCGGGGGGGTCACGGGGCTGGGGGTCGCGGCGGGGGGGTCACACGGCGATGAGATGGGACGGGGAGGTCACAGGGCTGGGGGGGTCACAGAGAGAAGATGGGGCGGGGGGTCACTCACACAGCCACGGCCACCAGGCAGACGGCGGGGTTGGGGTTCCAGGCGACGCTCTTCACCACGCCCTCCACCGGGAGGGTTTTCATGCAGCGGGCGCTGCTCACCTCCCAGAACCGCACCGTGCCGTCATCGGAGCCTGCAGGACAGGCCAGCGGGTGGGTCCCCGAACAGGCAGGGGCCAGGCCCCGTCCCGCGCCCCCCGGCCAAGGCAGGCAGCGGGAGAGCGCCGTGTCTGGCCCCGAGGGCACTAGCAGCAGAGCAGGGATGGGAAGGGCTCCGCGGGGCGCCAGGGAGCCCGCTTCCGCTCACAGCGGCAAGGACCTACCGGGCTGGGCTGTGGCCAGAACATGGTGAGCTCCCAACAAGGCCTTGGCCCCAGCTCTGGGCAGGGCCATTTACAGCCGCTCGAGGGGCAGCTCAGCAGCCTGGGCTCCCTGAAGGGGAAGTGGGTCGGCATGGACCCAGGACGAGCGCCCCTGCTGAGCCGCCCCCCGGCAGCACCGGGCTCCTGGCGCCGCACTGGGGCCCTGAACTGGCCTGGCTGTGAGGGGCGAGTGCCCCCTGGAGCAGCTGCTGCCTAGGCTGGTTTGCTCTGGGCCCCTGCAGAGACCCAGAGCCGGGGCTGGGTGTGAAGGGAGAGGGGCAATCGCCTCCCACGCTCGCCGTTTAACGCCTGATCTCACCCACTTTCCAAGCCCGTGGCCAGGAATCCAGCGGTTGTGAAACTCCCGACGGCGCGCAGGCCACCCCACGGGAGCCGCCAGCCCGGAACCGCTGGAGCTCGATGTGCCGTTAACCTGCCCTCTGCTCCCAATGCCCTGCGTGCCAGCCCGCTCCCCACGCAGCCCAGCCACGCAGGAGACGCAGCCTCGGCCTGGGGCGCCGGAAGTGGAATCAGGGATTGCCACGGGCGTGCGCTGGGACGGGGCAATGGTCCTCTCACTGGCACCTGCCTCGTGCCCAGTGGAACTCAGCGCCCCGGAAGCGAGGCACGGGGCCAGCCAGAGCGGCCGGGGGCCGCACGGGCAAGGTCTGGGATCAAATCTCCCCTTGCCCTGGGAGCAAGCTCCAGGCCTCTCCTTCCCTCACATGCCCTTTCAACCAGCTGGCCCCTGCCCGCTGCAGTGCCACGGGAGAGCCCGGCGGGCCGGGAGGTGGCTGCTCCTCGGCTACACACACAGCCGTGACAGACACATGCGGAGGAGCCCAGGCTGCTGGGTGCTGCCCCTCGCCCCACGCCAGCACTGAGGGGTTTGCGAGGCTCCGGGCCGGCCGGGCGCCACCCCCTGGGCACAGAGAACTTACCTGACACCAGCCACTGCCCGCTGGGGGAGATGCTGAGGCAGCGCACAAGGCTGGTGTGCCCGCGGTAGACCTGGGGGAGACAATGAGATGGGTGAGGAGCCGCCAGTGCCACTCTCTAGCGTTCAGCTCGCCCGGGACGCCCCTGCGCACGCAGGAACGAGCCCTGGCCTGGCGGCTGGGGCTCCAGGTGCCCTTCTCCCCGGCTAACGGGCTCGGGCAGCTCTGGAGGCACTGGGACGCTGACGCCAGGGCGAGCAGCTCCGCGCAGCCCGAGCTCAGTCTGCTCCAGCGTCCGTCCCCAGCTCAGGCCTGCGCCTGCCAATGGCCACAGCTGCCTCCAGCCCTGGGGCAGAGATGGGCCCGGGCCATGGGGGAGGCTGGAGAGCGACGGACAGGCCCACGTGGGGTTTGAGAGCTGTGACTGCTGCTGGCCACACGCGATGTGAAGCTGCTGAACCCCCCTCTCCCGCTGGGGCCAGCTCCATGCCAGCTCTGGGACTGGTCTGGCCACCCACGGCCTCTGGTCCTGGCAACGGCACGTCCTTTCTCTTGCTCAGAGGACGATGCCCCAGGCCACACTCAACCTCTGGGCAGGGGTGGGTCCACAAGAACATCAGACTGGCCAGACGAGGCCCTACCAAGGGTCCCGCTAGCCCGGGGTCCCATCTTCTGACTGGGGCTGGTGCCAGAGCACCAGAGGGAATGAACAGACCAGGGCAATTACCAAGGGACGCCCGGTCCCAGCTTCTGGCAGTCAGAAGTTTAGGGACACCCAAAGCAGGGGGTTGTGTTCCTGCCCATCCCGGCTAATAGCCACTGATGGGTCTATCCCCCAGGAACTTTTCTTTTTGGAATCCAGTTATACTTTGGGCCTTCACAACATCCCCTGGCAGCGAGTCCCACAGGCTGACCGTGTTGTGTGAAGAAATACTTCCTCTGGTTTGTTTTAAACCTGCTGCCTGTTAAATTTATTGGGTGACCCCTGGGCTCTTTTGTTACGTGAAGGGGTAAATAACACTTCCTCATTCACTTTCTCCACCCCAGTCATGATTTTATAGACCTCTAGCATATCCCCCCTTAGACGTCTCTTTTCCAAGCTGAACAAGTCCCAGTCTTATTATCCCTCCTCATACGGCAGCCGTTCCAGACCCCTCATCTCTGCTTTTCTTAATTCTAACGTATCTCTTTTAAGGTGGGGGGACCAGACCTGCACCCAGGACTCACGGTATGGGCAGACCAGAGACTGAGATGGGACATTATGATACTTGCTGTCTTACTACCTGTCCCATTCCTAATGGGACTGGTTCATGTCCCGGATGAGGAGCCTTCGTTACCCCTTATCACAGCTTCAAATGTCAGGAGTCAAGGTTATTCTCCCCTATATGCCTAGTGACGGGGTGTCTGGGTGGCCTCCTGCAGCAGGGAGTTCTGCAGCTGCCCTGGTCCCTATGTGCCCCCTTAAGCCCTGTGTTCTGGGGTAGGGAAGGAGGCTCCCATCATTGCTCACTGCCCCCTTCTGAGCTTTTCTTTCCAGCCTAACTAATCCCCCTCTTCCAGACTCCTCAGCCTCCTTCACTCCCAGCCCCACCCTGGTCTCTGTTCTCCTCTCAGTGCCCCCTCCCCTCGCTCACGGCAGCCCTGAACACCACAGGGCCGCACGGCATTACCAGGGCCTGCGTGGTGGGGAATGGCTGCAGGTCCCGCGGCTTTGGCAGCTTGGGGATCAGGTCTTCCGGGTCCACGTTCACCTGCAAGAGAACCAAGCCCATGTAGCGCACAGGGGGCTCAGTCTGCCCCCCACAGGGTCGCCCCACTTGGGGGTGCCGGGCAGCAGGCTACTGGCCAGGGGACACTGCTGCATCCCACTCCGTAAAGGGGCAGCAAGCAGGAGCCGTAAGGCAGAGCTCGTGAGTTGTGTGTGTGTGTGTGTGTGTGGGTGGGGTGGGGGTGGGGATTGCCTTCAGCTGGCCCCTCGCTGCTCCAAGCCAGCCCCCGAGTCACTGCCTCCCCAGTCCCTGGCGTGCGAGGTGGGTGTCCTGCCCTTGGCTCTGCTGCTGCGGGAGCGACCGGGCCCTGGCTCCGAGCTCTGCTGGGCCAGTGGCCCAGGCCGCCCGAGCCAGCGCCCCCCCGGCTCACCCTCATCTTCCTCTGGCGCGGGCACAGGTAGAGGTCGAGGCAGCGCTCAAAGCGCTCGTGGATGAAGCGGGCGTAGGCTGGCACTGCACGCAGGCACCGGTGCTGCTGGGGCAGGACGTTCAGCTTCCGCTCCGCCACCTCCTGCTGCTCCCAGGCCAGCTTCTGCGGGGCAAAGGGCAAAGGTCAACAGCTGGCCCCCAAACCAGGCCCCTCTCCTAGGACCTGCTTTCCGTCCCCTCCCCAGGGGGGCCTCAGGCGCCCAGAGCCCGGCTGCCTGGGGCAGAGGGAGTGTCAGAGCCTGGGAACCAAGCCCATGGCAGCGCCGAGGGGCCCGGCCCAGAGAACTGCTCCCCTGCACCGGCCACAGACTCACAGAAACATGGGGCTGGAAGGGACCTCGAGGGGCCATGGACTCCAGCCCCCTGTGCTGGGGCAGGGCCGAGGAACCCGAGTTTGTCCAGCCAAGGACGGGGACCCCACAGCCTCCCTGGGCCGCCTGTTCCAGAGCTTAACTCCCCAGCCTGTTCCTAATCTCTGACCTAACGCTCCCTTGCTGCAAGTTGAGCCCGTTACTTCCTGTCCGGCCCTCAGTGGCCCCGGAGCACAGCCGGGCTCAGGCCTGTGGTAGAGGCTGGGGATCAGGGCTGAGCAGAGCAGGACAGCGACCTCTCGTGTGTGCACCCCGGAAGGACATTAGCCCTTTTCGCAGCTGCACCCCACTGCTGGGTCATGCTCAGCATGGGAGCCGTTGTCACCCCGGCCCCTTCTCAGTGCCGCGGCCTCGCCACGGGGTCCCCACTGGGTAGCTGTACCTTTGCACTTGTCTGTATTGAATTTCACCCATGCCGAACCTGCCTGCAGCACCCTCGGGAGCTCCCCGCACACAGAGTGCACCCTCCATAGCCCCATGAGCCCCTCAATACCCACACACAGCCCCCCCCCTCGTGGAACAACCCCCGCCACATACACAGACAGAGCACCCCCTCCTCGCCCCTCACCTCCTCCTCGCTGAGCAGGTACTCGGGCGGGGGGTTGTACGACTCCTCGTGGCCCGGCAGCCGCAGCTTTGGGGCTGGCACGTGCATCTTGTGGCGCCCCAGGATGGAGTTGGGGTCCTCCTGGGCCCAGAGGTCATAGTAGGTGGGCGTGTCCTCCTTGGGCTTGCGAGGTTTGATCCAGCCCATCTTGATGGCATGGACCAGCTTGGAGACCTGCCGAGCAGGGAGAGGCCACAGACGGGTCAGCGCCAGGATTGAGGGGGGCCTGGCTGGGGGCCCAGCTCTGGGGGCAGCTGGTGCTGACAGGCTCTTACCTTCTCCTTCTCCAGGAGGGAGGGAATGAAGCTGCGCTTGTCGGCTGGGCGGTTCGTCACCGGGTGGATCATCACCTGGCTGCTGAAGAAGTCAATGGCTGGCTGGGAAGGGAGAGCAAGGGGTCACTCCGGCTGCCCCGGCCCTCTGAGCAGGGATCAGCCCGGCTCCTTCCCTCGGCCCACTGCGTCCCCGCCCAGCCTGGGAAGGCAGGAGGGCAACATGCTGCGAGGGAGACGTGCTGCACCATCAGCCCCCCTGGAGATGGCGTCCCTGGGGGGAGGGGAGGGAGCCCCCCTGGAGATGGCGTCCCTGGGGGGAGGGGGAGGGAGCCCCCTGGAGATGGCGTCCCTGGGGGGAGGGGGAGGGAGCCCCCCTGGAGATGGCGTCCCTGGGGGGAGGGGAGGGAGCCCCCTGGAGATGGCGTCCCTGGGGGGAGGGGAGGGAGCCCCCTGGAGATGGCGTCCCTGGGGGGAGGGGAGGGAGCCCCCCTGGAGATGGCGTCCCTGGGGGGAGGAGGGGAAGGAGAGGGAGCCCCACACAGGCCCACCCCAGAGGTGGTGGCCATGAGGGGAGGAGATGAGACCCAGCCCAGGAAGGCAGGGAGGCTGCGAGGGAGATGCACCGAATGACCAACCCCAGAGGGGGAGGGAGGGGCCCGGTTGGGCGGGCGGGGGGGGGCAGGTCCCGGGCGGGGGGGGTGGCCGGGGGGCCCCCAGTGCTCAATGTTTATATTTTGAGGGGGGGGGGGGTGGTGGGGTGGAGTGGGGGAACATTATTGTAGGTTTTTGTTTTTTATATTCTTTTTATGGTGGGGTTATTAAGGGGGCTCCCCCCCCCTGAGAGGTTGGGGTCCCCTGGAGATTCCCTGGGGGGCCTGAGTTGGTGGGGGGGAGGTCTGGGGGGGGGCCCCTATCTGGGGGGGGGCCCTTGCCCCTGGGGGGGGGGCAAGTATGAGGGGGGTCCCCCCGAATGAGAGGGGAGGGAAGGGAGCCCCGGAGGTGGTGGCCGTGGGGGAGGGGAAGAGGAGGGAGCCCCCGACAGGCCCAGCCCCGGAGGCGGCAGCAGGGTCCCCTACCTCATAGGGGTTGACGTGCACGTCTCCGAATTGCCCTTTCTGCAGACGCTGCACCAGCTCCACTTGCTCGTCCGTCAGCCTCAGGTCCGCCCCCGTCTGCTTGTCCTGCACTGTCCGCCTGCGGGAAAGCGACACGTGAGGGGCGAGGGCCAGGCTGCCGCATGGTCTATCCCCGTGGGGCCCATCAGGAGGGTGCTCCGCTCCCAAAGCCCATCTCGGTGCTGTCCTGCAGGAGGCAAGCCCCCTTCCCGCGTCCTCGAACCGGCCCCTGACCGACAGTCCCCTCCTCCCAGAGCCGGCTCCTCCAGGGCAGGGGCAGGACGCGAGGCTGCAGACCTGGCCCCTTCGCCAGCCCTGCGTTGGCTGGGAGTGAGTGGGAGGTGGCTGGGCCCGGGTGGGCGATGGCGGGACTATGGCTCGGCTCCCGCCCCCCACAAGTGCACAGAGGGCTCTGCAGGGTGCAGGCAGAGGGACAGGGGGAGCTCATTCTCCAGGCTGTGCCGCTCTGTCCACCGGCCCGCAGGGGGAGAGCTGCCGGAAAGCCACGGCAGAGAGCCCAGGGTCCCAGCCCCCGGCCAGCACGGGGCGCGTGAGAGTCTGCTCTGGGTTCACTGCTGTGCAGAGTGGCACAGAGAGTGCCTGGGCTCTGCTCCCCCCACCACGGGGCACAGGGGCAGCAGCAGGCGAGGGGAGCAGCTCAGATCCCGTGCCTGGGGAGGAGACACACAGGAGCCAGCCGAAAGCTGAAGGGTTGCCCCGTGGGCTCCGAACACGGCAGTGTGTCGAGCTTTCCCCGGGGCAGCAGCAGGCGAGGGGAGCAGCCCGGATCCCGTGCCTGGGGAGGAGACACACAGGAGCCAGCCGAAAGCTGAAGGGTTGCCCCGTGGGCTCCGAACACGGCAGTGTGTCGAGCTTTCCCCGGGGCAGCAGGCTTCAGACACCAGGCATGTGGAGGCACATGCTGGGGCTGCCCAGGCCTTGGAGAGGGGGACGCGCACCCCTTTAGCCTGCCTGGGAGCGTGACCCCAGGCTGGGGCGGTGGGAGCACTCATGCCCCTGGCCTGGAACTCAGGGCGTTCCTGGGGGAAGCAGCGGGACCCCAGCCCCTCACCAGTAATCGGGGTTCTCCATCTTGTCCAGGAACTTGTCCAGCTCATCCTTGGTTCGGACCGGCTTGTAGATCCTCTTGCCGTCCAGGTCGTAGCCGATGTGCGGGTAGTCCTGGTACCACTCCATGGGGATGTTGCCCACTGTGTTACGCACATCCTGCAGTGGGACAGACAGCGGGAGGTGAGTTCGCACGGTGCTCCTCCCTGGTGGGTCTCAGAGGGGATCAGTCTGACCTCCCGTCTAGGCCAGAGACTCGCCCCCAGACCACTCCTAGAGCAGAGCTGTTAGAAACAGCCCGTCTGATTGAAACTCTGCCAGCAATGGATAATCCACCCCCCCTTGGTAAGGCGTTCCAAGGGTTAATTACGCTATTCAAAATATAGGCCTTCTGTCTAGTGTGAACGTGTCTAGCGTCAGCTTCCAGCCACGGGATCAGGGCAGACCTCTCTCCGCTAGCGTGAAAAGCCCACGATTAAATGTGTGCTCCTCATGTAGGTACTTATAGACTGTGAGCAACTCACCCCTTAACCAGCTCCTAGTTAAGCAAAACAGACGGCGCTCCTGGAGTCTCTCGCTCGGAGGCAGGCTTTCTAACCAGTTAATCATTCCTGACTCTTCTCTGCACCCCCTCTCCCATTTATCACCCTCCTTGTACCATGGGCACCAGAACTGGACCCAGGATCCCAGCAGCGCTTGCACCAGGGCCAGATACAGAGGTACAATAACCTCTCTGCTCCTCCTCGAGATTCCTGTTTATGCATTCAAGGATCCCAGTAGCCCTTTTGGCCACAGAGTTGCACTGGGAGCTGATTATCCATCCCCAAATCTTTCAGTCACTGCTTCCCAGGACAGTGCCCTCCATCCTGGAAGTACGGCCTGCTCTGTCCCCAGAGGGCTACGCTGACATTAGCCAGATGAAAACACGTTTTGTTTGCCTGTGCCCAGTTCACCAAGCGAGCCCAAGTACTGGGTCAGCGACCTGGCCTCTTCGTTATCTGCCACTCCCCCACGTTTCCGAGTCACCGGCAAACGGAACCAGGGATGGTTTGATGTTTTCTTCCAGGTCACGGATCGAAGTGTTAACTAGCGCAGGGCCAAACATCGATCCCTGGGGGAGCCCTCCAGAAGCTCACGCACGCGGTGAGCATTCCCTGCGTATGGTTGTACTTGGAGAGCGCGTGTAAAGCCATCCCGCCGTCTGAGCACATCACAGCACCACCGTCACCTCCTCCCCCTTCGGTCCACGTGCTACTGCACCCATGTGCCCGCCCCCGCCCCGCCTCCCCCCAGCAACCTGGACGGCTGGCAGCCCTCGCTCCCCACCCACCCCTCCGGCTGGCTGCAGGTCTGCTCTGCTCTGCTCTGCCTGGGCAGAGACCCAGGTTCACTTCTCTCCTTTTGCTGGACCTGCCTTGAGAAACCCTGGTCAAGATGGCGCTAGGCCCACGGGGACCTATCGGCTTGACTGGCTGCAGGGTCCCAAAGATGGCTGTGACTGTGTTCGACAGCCCAGGGAGCGCCAGGAGCTTTCTTGGGAGCCCCGGTGCACGCGTAGGAGACAGCCGGCCGCAGCGTCAGCACCCTCTCTGCAGAAACTTCTGCAGCCAACACAAGTGCAGATGGGGATGAGCCCCCTAGGAAAGGCTCCCGCCTGCGGGCCCCACCCCTCAGCAGGTCAGCTGCAAACACCCCGGGCATCATTTCCCTGGCAGCTGGCATGCCGTCCGGCTCCACTCTCCCCAGCCAGTCCCCACCCTTTCGCCCCAGCTGGCCTGCCCTGCAGGGGAATGGGCATGGAGAAGGGTCCTACGCCCAGCTGAGACTCTCTCTCCAGAAACTGAAGCCATTCTGTGCCCTCCCAGCGGACGTGCAGCAAATCCCAGCTGTGACCCACCGGTGCGCCTGGTTCCCCCCCATGCCGTGCTCCATGGCTGCCGCGTTCGTTCCAGCACACCACCAGCAGCACGCAGAGCCCTGGGCGGGGGAACGGAGCCACAGGTCCCTGCAGTGGGGGGGAGACTGACAGCCCCAGAGCTGCCAGCAGCCAAGCCAGGACTCCAAAGCATGCCAAAGGCCCTGGGCAGATGCTGGGCATGTGGTGCCCTCCCCCAGGGCTCTGCAGGCTGCAGATGGCTCCGGGGGCTCCCATCCTGCCCTGGGTCATTAGCAGCGCAGAGCAATCCCTGCTCACTACGGATGTAAAGGGAACAAAAGAGCCCTGGGGGCGATATGCCTGCAACCCCCCCTCGGCCAGCAGAGCGTTCCCAGCCTTCTGCTGCCTGCCGGGGAAACAACATCAAGGTAAGCACCTGGCACGCCTCACTGACCCCACCAGGGAGAGTTTAAAGGCCTTTAACGGCTTCCTGATTGGAACCATGGCCAGGCTGCAGCCGAGGGCAGAGCGCTCATTACCCGCAGCACAGGGAGGTCCCCCATTGGCCTTCGCAGGCTTGTTAAACACACGGGCAGGGGCAGGGGCAGGGGCTGGTCAGCCGCGCACGTTCCAGCACCAGTCCCTCACACCGGAGCGTGCCTCATTTCCCAGGCCTCAGCCGCCAGGCCCGCTCCCCCTGCGCCTACACAGACAGACACACGTGGGCAGACATGCCCACAGACAGAGCGACCACGGCCGTGCCGCTGGGTGACACACGCACGTGCACGCCCGCACACGGCCGCCCAGAGACAGAGCGACCACGGCCGTGCCGCTGGGTGACACACGCACGTGCACGCCCGCACACGGCCGCCCAGAGACAGAGCGACCACGGCCGTGCCGCTGGGTTACACACACGTGCACGCCCGCACACGGCCGCCCAGAGACAGACTGACCACGGCCGTGCCGCTGGGTTACACACACGTGCACGCCCGCAGACGGCCACCCACAGACAGACTGACCACGGCCGTGCTGCTGGGTTACACACACGTGCACGCCCGCACATGGCCGCCCACAGACAGACCGACCACGGCCGTGCCGCTGGGTTACACACATGTGCACGGCCGCACACGGTCGCCCAGACACAGACTGACCACTGTCGTGCCGCTGGGTTACACATACATGCACGCCCGCACATGGCCGCCCAGAGACAGACCGACCACGGCTGTGCCGCTGGGTTACACACATGTGCACGGCTACACACGGCCGCCCAGAGACAGAGCGACCACGGCCGTGCTGCTGGGTTACACACACATGCACGCAGTGCGGGAAAGTCGCACGTCTGCTCCAGTGGGGCTCCTGCACCTTCCTCTGCAGCCCTGGGGCTGGCCCCCATCAGAGCCTGGAGCCTGGGCTAGCTGGACCTCGGCTCTGATCCCACCTGGCAGTTCCTCTGAACACACACAATTAACCGTACCGAGAACACGGACAGCCCCCCTCCCTCCCAGCCGCACCGGGGTTTGCAGCACACCCTCGTTCACTCAGCCCAGCGCAGCCCATGGGACCCGCGGCCGGCCTCGTCCTTAACACAGACCGCAGGTCCCAGCATGCCATGCAGCTGCGCGGCTCGGTCAAGGCAGCACTGCATGCTGGGACCCGGCTGGGACTATCTAAAGGAGAGGGCAGCAGGGGGATGTGGGTGGTGCCCTGTCTTTGCAGGGAGCTCAGGACAGCACCCCATTGCATTCAATAGGCCAATGGCTGTGACCTGCCTCCAACCCACCCATTGGCTCTCTGCACTGGGCCAGGCGCGGGGCCAGCGGTGGCTCCCGCTCGCCCCCTCTGGAGGCGCCTGGCGGGCCCGGGGTTGAGCATAGCCAGCCCCCAATTAGCAGCTTCCGGGGCAGGAAGTGAAGCAGGGGTGTTTAAGGACCAAGCCCCCCGGTGGTGCAGGGCACAGGCTCTATGGGGCACAGGCTGCCCAGTGAGGAGGGGGCCAGTGAGCTGGGCTGAGGAGCAGACTCCGTGGCTCCCCCTGTCGCACCCCCCCGGGGAGGAAGGTGCGAACGTGACCTGCGCCCCACACTCTGCAGTCAGGGGCAACGCTCACTCGGCTGCACCATCTGGTCCCCATAAACACGTGCAGCACAACAGAGCCTCCCCAGGAAAGAGGCCAGGGGCCCCGCGGAGGCAGAGCAGCAGCCTCTGGGGCCACATCCATCACGCTCCAAGCACACGTCAGCACCGGACGTGCTCCGGCCCCGCTGGGACTCGGCCAGGAATTTCCCACTCAGGAACGGCTGGGCCACGGGAGCCGCCTGCTGCACACGCAGGAAGAAACAACGGCTCGAGGGGAGCAGAGACCGTGGGTGTTACGCTGCCCACCCCCGTGCTCCGGGGTACCTGGGCTGGGGCGGGTGAGAGGAGACGGGCACAGAGCAAGCCGCGGCAGATCCAGCTTGCCACCCGGCACTGTCCTCTTCAGCAGCCTGGCCATGCAGCTTGCAGACAGCGATGAGGGGACCAGGGTGCCCTGTGCCCATTCTGGCTTCCCCTGGCCTCTGGTGGTGGGGGTCCCAGAGCAAAGGGCCCTGGACCAACGACACAGCAGCAGCTCCCGGGGAAGGTCCTCGGACCCCGACTCCAATGCCAGAACCAAACCAACGGCGGGGAGCCGGGGGCTGTCGTTCCTTGGCCGAGGCAGGCAGGAGGCCGTCGCTGGCTGTTTCCTGGTGGGGGGGATGAGCTGGGCAATGTGCCCTGCAGCTGGTGCACTGAGGCCCAGACGATCCCAGGGTGGGGCACACGCGCGGGTATCTGCCCCGGGGAGGAGATCTCACGGGCCTACCTGCACTGGAGGTAGCAGCCAGGCAGGGCAGCATGGCCACAGCAGGGCTCCAGCGCTCGGCGCGTTCGAAGGAGCTGCAGACGCGACGGTGACATGCCCCGTCGATGGCTGACCATGGTCTTGGCTCGCAGGCTCCTGGGGAGCGGCTGGGTGGGCCAAGGAGAGCGCCGAACCCAGGTGGATTCGTGTCCTCTCAAAGGACGAGCTTACAGAGGTGCCAGCACACGGCACTGTGAGGTGCCGGGGCAAAGCCAGCTACTTGGGGGGGGGGGGGGGGGGGGGGGGGGGCGGGGGGGGGGGGCGGCGGGCCGGCGGGGGGGGGGGGGGGGGGGGGGGGGGGGGGGGGGGGGGGGGGGGGGGGGGGGGGGGGGGGGGGGGGGGGGGGGGGGGGGGGGGGGGGGGGGGCGGGGGGGGGGGGGGGGGGGGGGGGGGGGGGGG